AAGCCATGCCACCAGTATTTCAAATATCTGCAAGGTCACCCTTGGTTGAAAGGTTTCTGCAGAGCTTTTAGACTAATACAGATTAGGAAGAAAGCCTGCCGATAGACTTGCGAAAATGAGCCAATGAGAAGCTTATGGAAGACAGCAGAATATTGTCCTTCTTGCTTTGGACACATCACCAGGAGGGCTAGATCATTGTTTGGCAGATAGAGGGCCAGAGAGACAAGGAAGATCCTAGGTGAGATGGATTGGTGCAGTAGCCACAGCAATGGGTTTGAGCATACCAACAACTGTGAGGCATACAAACGGCCAAGCCACGTGTGTTCTGATGTGCACAAGGTCACCATGAGCTGGCGTCAACTCGATGGCAGTGCTGTCTACCTCTACTGGAGTTAACCAAGTTAGAAACGCATGTGAATGTCTCTACTGCTATTAGGGACAGAGCTCAGACTCATGACCTTGTCAGGTCCCAAAGAGTCCTTGAGGAATGTGCCAATGACTACAGTCGTGGCAGTGAAAGAGGGGTGGCAGATTTGGGGAAGCTTCTCGCAATGATAACCCTTTCCTGGCAAACCCCTTCCCAGTTCTGCAGGTATGTGCATGTGTAGTCCCTCGTTTGCTCTTTCAACACCACAGAGGCAGCCATGTCTGCTGCCATTGCCCAATGTGTTAAATAAAGAGACTGAGGTTTAGGATAAGTGGGAGGTCCAGGAATCAAATCCAAGACTAATGCCAAGCTCAGAGACAGATGGTCCCTAAGATCATAGAAGCAAACAAGAACATGGAGTCCCTAAAGGACAGAAACTGAGGGGGCGGGGGGGGGGGGACCATAATAATATAGTTATAATCTCACATGGGAGTCTCAAGTTTACTTACTCAACTCAGCTCGCAGAGTCTGAGATCTCATGAGATCAACTTGGAATCCCACAGCACTCAAGAAGTAAAGCCCCATTTGTAGTAAATGCAAAAGTATCACCTTGGGAGCCATCAACCTGCAGGAGGAGTAGAAAAGATATTCTAACATAAATATAACTTTAAAAAAAGTAGCTCTTGTAGTGCTTTTTTCCTAGGCAGACACACATTCTGCAGTGTCTGGAGGGAAAATCCAAGTCTAGATATCTGATAAATACACCAGGCATTTTCGCTTTGCTTCTCTCAGCACTTCACCTGCAGAAAATCAAAAGTGGAAACAGAGTAGGAGGATCCGCTACAGAGGGTGAGTGGGGAGTACTTCGGCAATTCAGCACCTAAAACACTATCTCGAATGTTGTCCGTGCTTAATAAAAGCCTTTTGAGAATAACTTGCTTTAGTTACTAGCTAATACATTGGGAAGTGGAGAAGTCAGTTTTAGACCTAAAGCTTGCTTTAGTTAAAAATATCCTGAAAGGGGTGCAGGAAAAGTCAATGGTGCTTGAATGTATTAAAAAAAAAAAAAAAAAAAAAAGCACACTCACTGCCGTTGAGTTGATCCCAACTCATAAAGACCTCTCCTTGAGTTGCAAAGGCGGTATCTCTATGGAAGTAGATTGCTTAATCTTCCTTTCAAGGAGTGCAACATCACCCTATTGTATTTAAATGTGAGTCTCTTTTGCCTCTCATCCTCAGTAGTGTTTTTGCTCCGGTTTCTTCCTCTGCTTGGAGTTCCTTCACTGACAGTACTGATCTCCACCTGGTACAATCCCAAATGTGTTCCTAAACGAAACGTGAAGCCACTTATTTTAGAAGAGGTTTCCAAACCTTACCAGATGAGCTCATTCCAGGAACTAATATCGTCAGCTAGCATCTCCCGTTGAACCCTCTTAACTCTTTTAGCACAGACAATTGACCTAAGTATCTGGAGGACTGTGGAGATCATTTACCATTATGGACTCTGCACATAAATTCCAATGTATACAGTACTTTTTTTCAAATGAATTGAGATTTTTTAACCCTAAGAATGGTGATCCACCACTCATCTGTCAGTTTGTCGTACTGTGATGGCTTCTATGTT